GGACACCTTTTGTTTGTTTTGACAAAAAAATTCAAATGATACAAAACATTTCCCAGAAAGATTCTAATATAGTTCTAAAATCCATTTTTCACTGGATAACATTAATGAAAATTTTGCAACCAGATCTTCTCTACATCCTCATTTCCTATTTTGAGGGCTTGTATCCCAGAGTGCACTAGCAGGGGCGTGCATGGACCTCAATAAAGGCTTATCTCCTGCACAGGATGTATAAAGAGGTAAAGAAAGCCCTTTGTGCCCTCCTTACCCTTAAGGGCCCATATAAGGACCAGACATGATGAATGTTTACTGGTAAGTTCTCATTTTAGATCACTATAGAAAACAAGAGTTTCTTAGAAACACATTTGTAAACATTCTATATCAGCTTTTTTAAATAGAAGGAATACTAGAAATTATTAGAATTCTTAGTCACATTTTCAAAATACTGTAGAGATAAGTAATAAATGAGAATGCTAATTAATTGTCAAATCCCTATAAAAGGAAAATCTGCCAGCTCTGTTGGATGAATATGGATCTATTACAAAAATGGACAAATTGCTCTCAAATTTAGTCTGTTTACTATCTGTTCTAGAGTTCATGTAACCACTGACTATTAATCTGTGATATATAATATTTACCATAACGATAGGTCATAACTCAGTATTCTGTATTTTGACACATTCTCTTTCTGGTCTCCCTAAACATCCACAAACAGAACCATCTCAGAAGCAGGAAGAATTAATTTTTAAAAGGGCAGATTAGCATTGCTTATTTTTCAGTGTGCGTGTACACACACACACACACACACACACAGAAAATAAGCAATGCCAATCTGATAAACTATATACTACCTTTTTATGTACCTACCTTTTTCAACAAAGCTATTGGATGGGAATAACAACAATTAATAATACTATTACCTTATGCTTATATATAAGGGCTTGGCCACACGGAGTTAGCGAAGAGCAAGCTGGGGTGTAAATCAAAGTGCATTACAGAGTTCACAGTGGCAGAGTCCACACAGCTGATTAATGTATGGTGGGCTATTGCGCTGTAGTTTTACACCCCAGGTTGCTCTCTGCAACTCTCTGTATAGACAAGTCCAGAGGATCTCAATGCACTTAACAAAGATGGCTAAGTAGTATTTCCCCAGATTTATGGATAGGAAAACTGAAGTATGGAGAGTTTAAGTGTCTTGCCCAAACCACTGGCAGCAAGTCATTGGTAGAATCAGGAAACAAACCTAGGTGTCTCAAAGACCCATCCTTTAACCACAAGATCCACACTGCTTCCTAGATTAGGAAAAGGGTTAATGCACAAAATGTTCTATCATCCCAATTTTTATTAGGTATTGGTATTTCATTTCATTCATCTTGGGACAGAAATTTTAAACAGAAAATGGCAAAAGAAGTGGAGCTCCCACTGACATCACTAATACAAAATGCACCAGCAACTTTCAGCAGTGGCACAAATTGGGTAGGTTTGGGGAGGAGGCCATTTTTGCACTTGCCGTAGGTTGCAGAGCTGGGGGGCCATGGCCCGACCACTTTTAAGCAATGGTCCCATACTAAATCAGTTCAGCTGCTGCCGGAGCAGTCTGGAGCACTGATCCAGATGAGTGGTTGCAATGCCACTGAAATTTGACCTGACCATCTCTACGGGCAGACAGAGGGGTGGTTGGGTCAAATTTCAGTGAGTGGCATTACAATCTAGTTCACAGGGTCACAATGCCACTGAAGTTTGACTCTCTGTCCAGATGGCGGGGTAGGTGGGACACATGGTGTTGCAACCTGGTGCACAGGGAGTCTGTTCCTGTATGGTGGCATGCAGGAGAATCCACTGAGGCCTCTATTTCTGGTGGCAGCGGCTCATGCTCTGTGTGAGTAAGAGAGAGGGGTGACTTCCCAGTCAAGGGACATCCTGGGTTCCTGTAGGAGAAGGGGGTTGAAAACAAGTGAGATAGGAATAGGGTTCTTGCTATGGGAAATGACTGGAATTTACTCCTCCCAAGAAACATCTGAACTGGCATCACTGACTTTCAGGCTTGGAAAACAGAAACTTTCCATCTGGTGACAGAAGGTTAACTCTTACTAGGACAGACTACATGAGATCAAATATCGAGTGTACAGCTTTACTACCACAGTTCTCCAGTTTCCCTCCGATAACTGGTGAACTCTGACATTTTTAACTATTTCATGGCTTATCTTTGTGTTATGAACAGTTCAGTGAGGCACAGAGGGCCAGATTCTGATCTTGGTAACTCTGGGTGTAACTATAAACAGGGTCATGGCATTACTCCAGATTTACACTGGTGCAGATGAGATCAGAATGTGATTCTCCGCAGAAGGAAATCATCTAAGTCCTGAAAAAAGAACAGGAGTACTTGTGGCACCTTAGAGACTAACAAATTTATTTGAGCATAAGCTTTCATGGGCTACAGCCCACTTCTTCGGATGCATAGAATGGAACATATATTGAGGAGAGATATATACACATACAGAGAGCATGAAAAGGTGGAGTTGTCTTACCAACTCTGAGAGGCCAATTAAGTAAGAGAAAAAAAACTTTTGAAGTGATACTCAAGATAGCCCAGTACAGACAGGTTGATAAGAAGTGTGAGAGTACTTACATGGGGAGATAGATTCAATGTTTGTAATGGCTCAGCCATTCCCAGTCTCTATTCAAGCCTAAGTTGATTGTATCTAGTTTGCATATCAATTCAAGCTCAGCAGTTTCTCGTTGGAGTCTGTTTTTGAAGCTTTTCTGTTGCAAAATTGCCACCCGCAGGTCTGTCATTGAATGACCAGACAAGTTAAAGTGTTCTCCTACTGGTTTTTGAATGTTATGATTCCTGATGTCAGATTTGTGTCCATTTATTCTTTTGCGTAGAGACTGTCTGGTTTGGCCAATGTACATGGCAGAGGGGTATTACTGGCACATGATGGCATATATCACATTGGTAGATGTGCAGGTGAACGAGCCCCTGATGGCATGGCTGATGTGATTAGGTCCTATGATGATGTCACTTGAACAGATATGTGGGTGGACAGAGTTGGCATCAGGCTTTGTTGCAAGGATAGGTTCCTGGGTCAGTGTTTTTGTTCAGTGGTGTGTGGTTGCTGGTGAGTATTTGCTTCAGGTTGGGGGGTTGTCTGTAAGCGAGGACAGGTCTGTCTCCCAAGATCTGTGAGAGTGAGGGATCATCCTTCAGGATAGGTTGTAGATCTTTGATGATGCGCTGGAGAGGTTTTAGTTGGGGGCTGAAGGTAACAGCTAGTGGTGTTCTGTTATTTTCTTTGTTGGGCCTGTCTTGTAGGAGGTGAATTTTGGGTACTCGTCTGGCTCTGTCAATCTGTTTTTTCACTTTAGCAGGTGGGTATTGTAGTTTTAAGAATGCTTGATAGAGATCTTGTAGGTGCTTGTCTCTGTCTGAGGGATTGGAGCAAATGCGGTTGTATCTTAGAGCTTGGCTGTAGACAATGGATCGTGTGGTGTGTCCTGGATGGAAGCTGGAGGCATGTAGGTAAGTATAGCGGTCAGTAGGTTTCCGGTATAGGGTGGTGTTTATGTGACCATTGCTTATTAGCACAGTAGTGTCCAGGAAATGGACCGCTTGTGTGGATTGATCTAGGCTGAGGTTGATGGTAGGATGGAAATTATTGAAATCATGGTAGAATTCCTCAAGGGCTTCTTTTCCATGGGTCCAGATGATGAAGATGTCATCAATGTAGCGCAAGTAGAGTAGGGGCGTTAGGGGACGAGAGCTAAGGAAGCGTTGTTCTAAGTCAGCCATAAAAATGTTGGCATACTGTGGGGCCATGCGGGTACCCATAGCAATGCCGCTGACTTGAAGGTATATATTGTCCCCAAATGTGAAATAGTTGTGGGTGAGGACAAAGTCCTGAGACTCCCAACTACTTTTACCCTTTTCATCATTCTATCTTACCAGCAATACCACCTTGGATTGGTTAGGGTATATTAGGTACATCTCCCCTCTAGAGTTAATCAACATAACTACTGAGTCTTGGGTGAGCGAAAAGGGGTTGGTTGATAGAAAGCAAACTGAGGCAAGTAATGTGGATTGCCACCAGATCACTCCAAGCTCCAACCAGCCCAGAAGGGACCTCAAGTCCGAAATTCTGATTTCTTCAGTGGCAATGTGCTGCACTACCACTAGGCCAGTTTTAATACCTCTCATGCCTTTGGGTCAGGAACAGTTCAGAAAAAAACACATTTAACTTTAATTTTGCAGCAACTGTGGGTGAAAGGACCAGTTTAATATTGTATGCTAAGTTGGAGCTCCCCCTCTTAAATTTAATTCTTGGATATATTTCTGATACCTGAAGGTTACCTGATAACAAGGCACCGTGTTTCCAACATGCAGCTTTGGTTGCTAAAAAATTAATCCTGCGAAAGTGGAAAAGTCGATCTCCACCAAACATCGATGCCTGGCTCAATGATATAGCTGACCTCTCAGCTAGTGAATTACTGGCATTCCATAGAAGGGGAATGCCTGAAAAATTCAAAGCAATTTGTGCTGACTTTTTACAGGTTTATGATTAACGCAGACCCTGAAGATAGATAGGTTGCTTCACCTGCCCTCCCTTTATCCTGACCCTCTTTACTTACTTTGTGTATTATGCCGAATCTTGTATTTTGGTATATTTGTTATATATGAAAAAATTAGAAATATATTTACAATTTGCAGCAATAAACTTCTCCCTGCCCCAGTTGTTCTAAAAAGGAGGAAGTAGTCTATTTGTTTAAAGATTAAACAATAACTAATTCAAGCAGTTTTTAAACAGCACACTGATGCACTAACGAAGAGTTTCAATTTTAAAATGACAATATATTGTCTCAAGTGTTTTAGAAGGATGATTTTACTTTAGTTAATCACAGTGCCAACAGGTTGTCATTATTTCCATAAAATATGCCTATGATGCTTTTAGAAATTCCTCTCTGAATCAACTGATTGTAGTCAGTCTCTAAATTAAAATATTCATATTTATGATATTTTCATCCACCTAAGACACCTATCTGAAGGCATCATTTCTCCAACAGGCAGTGCTTACTGCTCCACAATATTGCCTTAGATTTATAAATAGAAAGGTAGTATTGCCAGAAAAAACAGTGGATTAGAAACTATGGCAGATCTCTTATGGCATGCCTATGTTAGGAAAGGATTTTAAAGTGTGAATATTTTTGGCACAGAACTACTTCACAGTATCTTGAATTAACCACAAAAATAAAAAGCTATCGTTCAAAATAATTCTTGGTAAGAGACTAGAGCTGGCGTCTGATGATCAAAATATCAAAATTAACACACACACTGTCAGAAAGTGTAAAGACAGACATTTTTTAAAGAGCTTTTGATGGAATGTTGTATAATTGTTGTGTAGAAAAATGTACTGGAAAAGTAAGCAGCTTTTAAGAAACTGATTTTTATTGTTGCTGTGTGAATAAAGATGGTATTTGACAAGTGTAACAGGCAGCACTGCCAACTGGAATACATCCTCATAGAATCATAGAAGTTAGAAATGGAAAAGACCTAGGTCACCTAATCCATATGAGTACTGGTGCAGGATTGTTCTCTACAGTATATTTAGAGATAATAAGACTGTATCTGAAAGATACATTGAAATGATTTATGGAAAATTATTTCGAATTTTGAAAAACCAAAAGTCACTGAAAAGTTAGAAATGAGTGGATTTTCAAACATTACAAGTAACAGGCAGACTCCTGTAGATCTGTTTTCCATAGCTCTATAATGTGCAGTAGGAAAACTTACTGGGACAATGTCAGGTCATCAAATTTGGCCCAGTAGGTCTCATGTGTATCTGATTTTCTTTAGAGAAAAGGGAAATTCTTCCCCCCTCACCTGAAGTTGTTTAAGTTGACATTAATGCTTTACAGTCCATTCTTTTTAATGAACACGTGTCCATAAGCCAGTGGGCAGATTTATTAGCCAGGGTAGTCCAAATAAAGCCCAAACCCTCAAGTTCAGTTCCATGTCCCCTTTCTCAAGGTGGGTTTATTAATAAACAGAAGATTCAAAAAGACTCAGCAAAAACACTTGGGTAACAGAGACCTTTCTCACTTTCCCTGCCTGGGAAGAGGGAGGACACATCCTTGCCCACTACATGACCCTTCTCTGGCTACCACGGAGAGACCCACCCTAATGATTCTCTAGTCTGTATCTCTCTTCTCTGGTACCCCTGCAGAAAGCCTAATATCACAAGCATAATCCCAGTCGTATGCCCTCAAACTACGACTTTTAAAAGGTACAATGTCTCACATCAAACATTACATTTCTGCTGCTAGGAAATATGGTATTAATAAATGCACAACAAACGCTCTTCAAGAATGCATCTGAAAACCAGGAAAATGCTAACCTAAACTATGGCCTTAAGAAGTATACAGTAATCATTTTTAGGGATAAGAGGCCTGAGGTACTAGTGTTCTGTGTGCGGTGCTGAGACTCATAAAATACTGGGAATACTTCTCTTACTTGCCAATAAATATTTCTGTGTTGTATTTGGGGAAAAACAGATGATATAGTCTCATCATATGGTGATAACACTTGTTCCATCCCACTAGCATCTCTGAAGGATGTTAAACAAAAGCTACTAAAGTTAGACATTTTTAAATCAGCAAGTCCACATAATTTGCGTCCAAGAGTATTAAAAGAGCTGGGGTAGGAGCTTGCTGGACCTTAAAAGTTGATTTTTAGTAAGTCTTGGAGGACAGTGGATGTTTCAGAAGACTGGAAGAAAGATAATGTGCCAATTTTTAAAAAGGGCAAATGGGATGACCCAGGTAATTACAGGTCTATTAGAGATCTTGAGCAAGATAATGCAGTGGCTGATATGGGACTCAATTAATAAAGAACTACAGGAGAGTCGTGTAATTAATGCAACACAACATGGGTTTATGAAAAACAGATCCGGTCAAACTAACCTGATATCTTTTTTTGATGACTTTACAAGTTCGGTTAATACAGGTAATAGTGTTGACGTAACATACTTAAGATTTCTGTAAGGGGTTTGACTTGTTATTGCACAACTTTTTGATTAAAAAAATTAAACGATATCAAATTAACATGCTAGCACACATTAAATGGATTGCAAACTGGCTAACTGATAAGGTCTCAAAATATAACTGTAAACGGGAAATCATTATCAAGCGGGTGTGTTTGCAGTGGGGTCCTGCAAGGATGAGTTCTTGCCCCTGCGCTATTCCACATTTTTATCTATGACTTGGAAGAAAACATAAAATCATCACTTATAAAGTCTGAAGATGACACAAAAATTGGAGTAGTCAATAATGAAGAGCACAAGTCACTGATTCAGATCAATCTGGACCATTTGGTAAATTGGGCACAGGTGAACAATATGTGTTTTAATATGGCTAAATATAAATGTATACATCTAGGAACAAAGAATGTAGTCCACACTTACAGTATGGGGGACTCTTTTCTGGGAAGCAGTGACTCTGAAAAAGATTTGGGAGTCGTGGTGCATAATCAGCTGAACATGAGCTCCCAGTGTGATGTTAATGTGATCCTGGGATGCATAAACAGAGTAATCTCCAGTAGGAATAAAGCGGTTATTTTACTTCCATATTTGGCACTGGTGTGGCCACTGCTGGAATACTATGTCCTGTTCTGGTGCCCACAACTCCAGAAGGATGTTCATAATTTGGAGAGGGTTTGGAGAAGAGCCACAAGAATTATTAAAGGATTAGAAAACATGCCTTAGATTGAGCCCTTGGAGTCTATCGCTATATTTAGCTTAACAAAGAGAAGGTTAAGGGGTGATTTGATCACAGTCTATAAGTATCTACCTGGGAAACAAATATTTAATAATAGGCTCTTTAGTCTAGCAAAGAAAGGTATAACACAATCCAGCAGCAAGAAGCTGAAGCTAGCCAAATTAGACTGAAAATAAAGCATAAATGTTTAACGGTGAGCGTAATTAACCATTGGAACAATTTACCGAGGGTCATGGTGGATTCTCCATCATGACAATTTTTAAATCTAGTTTGGATGTTCTTCTAAATGATATGCTCTATGAATTATTTTGGAGGAAGTTCTATGGCCTGTGTTATACAGGAGGTCAGAGCAGACGTTCATAATTATCATTTCTAGCCTTGGGATCTGGGAATCTCTGAATACTGAGAGTTTTGCAAACAAAGTATGGCATATACTGAATTAAAGCCTAAAAATTCTAAATCACCCTTATAATTTTAACAAATTCATCTTCTTGGAATTTTCATTAAAAATCCCCAAACAAACCAAAGGCGCTAATTTTCACAGGCACAGAGCAACGACAGCACATATTGACTGCAGTAGGAGTGCTGGGTACTATGAACCGGTAAAACTCAGGTCCAAAGTTTATAGCAAAGAATTGATAGTTAAAAATTAAGCCCACATGTGTGTTAAACTCATACTTACTAGAGGAATAACCAAGAAAAGAAAATGGACAGATACTTACTTGAACACTAACTGTTCCCAACTCCTTAATTTTTTTTGTTCTGCAATTCTGTGTTCCAGCTCTTGGCTCAGTTTTTGCCTGGTATTCTCAAGCCATTCTCGAGTGGCCATATTTTTGTCATGTTCTTCTTTTTCAAGCTGTTCAGTCTGAATAGCAATTTCCTTTTTATGCTCCTCAACAATTTGTTGCAGGAATGGCTTTGGCACACTCAGTTTTAACAGTTCTTGAGTGATTACTCCATACTGAATGCGTTTAAGTTCATCAATAGCTTTCTCTGTCAAAGTAAATCTAAGCACTTTTATTTCTTCACTGGCATCATTATCAAGCTTTTCAATAAGCTCTTCAAATTCAACAGCATGATCAGTCAGAAGCTTTTGCCAGTGGCTCAAGTAGTGGCTAACCTCTTTAGTGGTTTTGAAAGTGTCTCCTATCGACATCTGCTCCTTTCTTTGTTCTTTCTGCGGATTCATTTACCCAAAAAAAAAAAAAAGATACAAGGTAAATAGAAAAAACTTCTTTCTAGTTCCAATCCCCTATATACATATTTCATACCAAGGTGAAATTATACATGATTTTTTTGGTAATACTCAAAATTGCATAATATCAGCACTGCATTCATATGTGCCCAAAAGGCCACTATTAATTTGGGTTGAAGTTAGACAGAATGCTAACACCTACAAAAATGCAGTGTCCAATTTATCTCATGCCCTGACATATTTTCAAATATTGGAAAGGGTCAGAAATCTAATGAACCGGTAAAATTCCAAATGCAAACTCTGATCAAAGAAACACAGAGGAAAGAAGAGAAAAATGGTGTACTGATATTTCATATTACACTATGCAATATTTTCACTATAAAGCTAGCCAAAGCTACTCTTGTGGGGAGAAAAAAAAAAAGATACTGAATGCCACTGAAAGAAGCCCTAGATTTCTCTTCATACCTGCTCTCTCCTTGTTTTAACACAATTTATCTTTTAAGACCACCAGAACATTTTGAAACGTCTGTCCCAACTAACCCAATGGATTTCCTGCATCTTTTGATTATTTCTTTACAATTCACATACAGGAGCCTAAATTGGCCAATTATGCATTTTGGTGTAAAGTCAGTTAACCCAGGACAAGATGGAGATGGGCACCAGTGGGAAGCCCAGAGAGTACAATGGAAGTGTTGGCCCTCTGCGTGATTGCCAGAGCTCCAAGGCATTTTCCTTTATAGAGTTTGGAACCTCGGTGGGTTTGGAGGGTCATGCTGCCTGCCCCCACTGTGTTGAATCTAACCCTATATTCCTGACCTGGTGAGATGTCAAACCACAAATGGAAACTCAGAATTTTCTTCATGTATATCACCTTCAGGTTTTCTCAATGATAGGGAATGATCTGGTCTTATGCTGTCAGGCTATGAATAACTGCTCAGTTAAGACAATACAGTAGAACCTCAAAACTACAAATACCTTGGGAATGGACGTTGTTTGTAATTCTGAAATGTTCGTAACTCTGAACAAAACGCTATGGTTATTCTTTCAAAACTTTACAACTGAACATTCACTTATTACAGCTTTGAAACTTTACTATGCAGAAGAAAAATATTGCTTTTAACCATCTTAATTTAAATGAAACAAGCACAGAAAACAGTTTTCTTGCCTTGCCAAATCTTTTTTTTTTTAAACTTTCCCTTTATTTTTTTCAGTAGTTTACGTTTAACGCAGTACTGTACAGTATTTGCTCTTTTTTTGGTCACTGCTGTTGCCTGATTGTGTATTTCCAGTTCCATATAAGGTGCGTGGTTAACCAGTCACTTTGTAACTCTGGTATTCATAACTCGGGTTCTACTGTATATTGTGGTAACGCCACTAAAAATTATGAAGACTGATTTTCCTCTACTATCCTAGCATGGATGTTTACTATCTTCATCATCATAAAAGAATTAGGCTTTATCTTTCAATTCAATCAGGTATTTTTCAGCATAATCGCAGGGTAAATGGTTACACTGTACATAATTACCTTTTGCAACATTTCTCGTCTTCTCTTAGTAACGAGTTTCTGGTGAAGCCTTTGCTTTTCCTGTTTTAAATTATGATCCAACTTCTGTTTAACAGAATGAACTTCTGCCTGAGCTTGGTCTAGAAGTGTTCCCAAATGATTTTCAGACAAATGACCAGCTCTGTAATAAGAGTGTTTAATACCTGTTACCACGAATACTTAACAGTAGAGAGTGTGTGTTTGTATAAAGGCACAGTTATTATTTATTTCTGTTGCTGTAATGCTTAATAGAATCACAGAATATTAGGGTTGGAAGAGACCTCAGGAGGTCATCTAGTCCAATCCCCTGCCCAAAGCCTGTTACAAGGCTCAGGAACCCACTGTATTGGACGCTATGCAAGCAAATAATACAAAGACAGTCCATGCCTCAGAAAGCTCACAGTATAGCATATAGATAATAGGCAAGAGGTGAATAAACAAATGGGGGTGTGAAGGGAGAATGGGAAGGAAGGAGGGAAAAAAAACAAGGAGACCTATACACATATAGAGTTAGTATTAGACAGAAGATGCTCAAAGTAATGTGCATAAACGAAAAAATGAGAGAGTGCAGGCTCAGGTGGTTTGGTCGTGTCAAGCACTGTCCTGACAACTAGTGGGAAAGAGTACAACCGCTCAGGACTGAAGGAGAAAGACAGAGAAGCCAACCCAAGAAGAAGTGGTGGTATGTCATAAAGGAAAACATGTTAGCATGTGGTGTGATAGAGGATACAGCACTGAAAAGAGCACGTTGGAAAGAGAGGACTTGTAGAGTGGACCCCACTTGATGGGATTCATGCAAGGAAAAAGAAGAGTATTGTATAGAATATTCAAATTAGACATGTTTTATATTTATACATTATAGTCTAAAAATGTAAAGTCTCCCTTAAATGTTACATTTATATATATATTTAACATTTAACATATATTTAATATTATATATCTATCTCTTATCACACATGCACAATAATTTTATACACACTACAAATGATAGTTAGCAAAACATGTGCAAAGACTTTCACTCACTTCTCCTATAACTTTCAAAATCAATCAAAAGAATTACCAGGATTTTGGATGAACAGAGAAATATAGCAACTCCAAAGACCAAACTTTCCCAGTTTTACACTTACAGGACATCTTTTAGATTCGGGGTTGACTTGCAAGATTATGACACCAGTCTAACTCCATTGACTTCTCTAATTCACATGAGTGTATGGGCTAGATGCAATAAAGTATAGTCAGATAAGTCTCTCTCTCCCTATAAACAACTCTAATTGCATTATAAAGACTGCTGCTATTCTTGTCACTCAGGAGTTCCCCAAATACCTTTGAACAATAGGGATATAAACGAGGATCTTAAATCAACCAGGTTAGGATTTTGGATTTTCGCAGTTATCACCATGACTCACAAGAAATATTTCTAATATTAAATATTAAATGAGTATTCCCTAAAAGGAGGTTAAAAGGGTCAAAATGGAACCTGGGCTGAAAGTACTATCCCTAACACTGTGGATTTTTGTTCAAACCCTTCCTCAATTATTCTCCAAGTACCCAATTTTCAGAAGGGCTGAGCACTATGCAGCTCATATTGGTTTCAAAAGGAATTGTGCGCACACAGCCCCCCTAAAAATCAGGACCTAATAACATATGGGGCTCACATGCCTCTGTCCCAGCAAAGTCTCCAACACACTCCAGTAGTTGGTCTATGGGCCAAAACTTGTAGTCCTTTATTAGGCCCTTTTCGGGAAAGGATTGAGACCAATTCCCATTGATTTTGTGAATTTACTTAGGAAGGGCAGAAGCTGCAGCTTTAAAGGGCCCGTTCCAAGCTCGCTGAGCCCCAGGAGCCCCAGGACATCCCCAGGAATCACCTGGCTACACCCCGTGTCTCCAGCCCTGCACTCTGCCTCCCAGGCCCACAGAGCTCCCCTCTCACCTGCTTTGGGGAGTGCAGGGCTGAGAGTGCCTGGCAGGTGGCGGTGAGGACATCGGGGTATCCCGGCTCAGTGCTCACCTAGGATTTGTCCATATGAATTTAGCTGTCCCACATTTCTTTCAAGATAGATTTTACCTCAAATTCCCCAAATAATCAAATTAAAGCAAAGTTGAGGAATATTTATTTAGTTGTGTGGCATTTGCATTTTACCCAAAGTGAATAGAGAGCTCCAATTCAAAGCCAGCACTTGCTTCTCCATCTACTGTTCGAGAGTTTACAGTCAATTAAATGAGCAACAGAACACTGTCCCCTGCCTATCAAACTTGCTTTAAATTCTAATGAGGAGCTGAGCTCAGCCTCCCTCCTTATCGCGTAGATTTGTTAAGTTTTGCAGAACTCAATTTTTTCAACTTCCATCCATCACCTTTAAAAAAAAAAAAAAAAAAAAATCTTCTGTTGGAAAAAGCCCTCAAAGCAATCCCACCAGCTGTCAACGTGCTCTACTTGAAGCCAAATAATGTTTGTCCTTGCCTGAAACCAATTGATTATAAATTCCAATGATGTGGCAGATAGATTGGGTAGTGCCAAGCCTCCCTTCAGCTTTGGGAACTGCAAATTCTGTATCTAGGCTCCTTTCTGTGCCAAATACAAGGGAAAACAAAGTAGTTTAACATGTGGGTGGCGGGATTAGATAAGAGGATGAGCAAGTTATGCAAAATAATAATCAATTAAGACAGTGGTTCTCAAAGCCGGTCCGCCGCTTCTTCAGGGAAAGCCCCTCGTGGGCCAGGCCGGTTTGTTTACCTGCCGTGTCCGCAGGTTCGGCCGATCGCGGCTCCCACTGGCTGCGGTTCGCCACTCCGGGCCAATGGGGGCTGCGGGAAGGGCAGCCAGCACATTCCTCGGCCCATGCCGCTTCCCGCAGCCCCCATTAGCCCAGAGCGGCAAACCATGGCCAGTGGGAGCTGCGATCGGACGAACCAGTGGATGCGGCAGGTAAACAAACCAGCCCGGCCCACCAGGGGCTTTCCCTGAACAAGCGGCGGACCGGCTTTGAGAATTACTGAATTAAGATATTACTTTTAAATACCTTTAATCTATTTTGTGCTGGGGGAATTACCCAGGAGTCTTTGCAGTCCCTTTACAATCCCTACCCAGAGTGGAGTAAAGGGGCTGCAGCAGAAATCAGAATTGGGGCCATGAGATGAAAGGTGGGGGGAAAGTGATGTAACATGCCAGCTAAGTGACCAGGGTGGTGAGAGATATACACACTGATGATGGGGATGATGATAGACACACATCTCATTAGTTCCATGTTGATTTATTCTGTGGAATTTTTTTACATGTAAAAATCTTAAAAGGCACTCAGATTAAATTGTAGGTAGTTGTGGGTACTACAACCACAGGGGCAAGTAAAAAGGAATACGGACTGAGTTTCCCATGACACAAACAATAGAGACAAGGAGGTGTAGCCATCAGTTCAAGCAGAAGCAGAGTTTCAGTTAAATAACACTAATAATATAATGGTTATACCTCTAAGAGACAAAAATGAAAGCGTCTCCAGGCTAACTTTCAAGACTTAAAGTCAAAACTAAAAAAGGAGCCAGCTAGAATGTCCAGTATAATTGACAACTTGAGGTATGATTGACAATTTAAAAAAATAGCGAAAGGGCTTCAGACTTCAAACTATAGTTTGTCTGATGGGTAGGTTAGGTTGTATAGAGTTGTATTATATCTGAAGGAGTAAAGGAAACCGCTGCTATTTTAGAAAGATCATTCCAGTGTGGACACGAGTAAGGGATGGAATCTATTTGATTAGAAAGCCCACATGATAGAAACAAGGGGTGAAATCCTTGCCCCACTGAAATCAATGGGAGTTTTGCCAAGGACTTCAGTGGGACCAGGATTTCATCCAACTGGATCAGAATTCTGCAGATGTCCAGATCAGAATTGTAAAGAGTAATTCCTCATAGTAAAATCCAGACCCAGAGAGGTGCTAAGCAAGTCATTAACCTTAATGCAGATAGCAGGTGCTCAGCACCTGGTGGGGTCAGGCCCCAAGAGATTAAAGGCTTATGTTCTGCTGACACAATGATGATAACAATGGGTAGGTTATCTACCCCAGTTCTATCTGGTGGAAGGGGACATCAAAGGACTGTTTGGAGAAATATTTATTGATGCAATGGACGCCACTTAAATGGAGAAGAATAAAAAGTACACTACTAAAAGAGATCAGTAAGACGAATGTTTTGATTTTGACTTTACTGTAGATGATGGTAGGATTTAAGGCCACATATCGCAGGAAATTATTGTGGTCTTATTAGAGATTGAAATCCATGGAGAAACTCATACTGCAATATGAGTTCCTGAAGTCCAGTAAATTGCCAGAACCGGATGATGTTATCAAAGGGTTATGAAGGAAATTAAGTCTGAAGGAGCAGAGTTCTTGGCTAAATGAAGCCATAGCACTTTAAAAATAGCAATAGTTCAGAAAAAAAACGGGGAAGTCACTAATCTGGTACCTTTTTGACTATCTAGAACCCAGGAATTACAAAATGGTGGGGCTCATTGTGCTACTGGGGAAACTGGTTATTATGAGTTCCAGTAAGGTTAAAGTAGTATAACACTTGGACAAGTATTGCCTGGACAGGTCAACCCCAGCATAGTATTTTTTTGTAAGGAAAATGATAAAAAGAGCTTTCTATCTATGAGACTTCTTTGGAAATGTTAACAAAATGATAGATAAAGCAGCATGAATGTAATTCACTTAGATTTTTCCAAATGCTTTTTTGAAAAGGTCTCTCATACGAGACAATTAAGGAAAATGACTAATAAATGGATAAGATTGAACCAGTAAAGCAATTAAAAAAAGTTACAGTGAAGGCTGTCCTACAGGTCAAATGTTGGGGTACCAAGGTGATTGCCAGTATTTGATAAAAATTATTAAATAGATTTTGAACAAAAGGAGTTGGTAAAGTATGATAATGACACTAAGTTGATTTGTTTAGTAAAATGGAGGATTATGAGACACTCTGGATGGATTTAAACATATAAATGAAATGGACAATTTGACGGCAGAGGACATTTAACTTGCATAAATGTAAGATAATGTGTATTAGCAGCAATGGTCTAAACTCCTAATATGCTGATGGGCACTGAAGCTGTGGAATCTTCTGAAGCAAGAGAGGAGGTTAGATTGTGGTGAATTC